AGTAATTGATATTTACAAATCAGACGTAAGTAATTGGTAATTGATTAATCAGAAGTATATAAGTGGTAATCGATAAATCAGGAGTGAGCTAATCGATAACCGATAAATCAGAACTAATTGGTAATTGATTACTCAGAAGTAATTGAAGTTAATAAATCAGAAGTTAGCTAATTGATAATAAATCAGAAGTTAATATCATAAAATTGATGATTGATTAATCAGAATTAGTAGTTGAAGAAATGCTGCTAACTGATAAAAATAAGAGCAATGCCAATTGATGAAATAAGCTAAGGAACGATAGTACTTGTATAATACTATACTTGTATTAGTGATATACAAGTAATTTAATTATATGAAATAGTTACTGCGTAAAGTAAACGTAACAAGTAGTAGTAATGAAGAGTAAGCACAATAATGATAATATCATAAAATTGATAATAATTTTGTTGAAGTGAAATCAATTATTTCAGGTACTGCTAATTGATAAAAATAGCAGCAATAATGGGTTCATTGTATTCTATTACTTATCACTATTAAGCCTCCCGAGAAAGAGTACTAGCCGTAAGATCTCAGAAGATTATCGTTGAAATATCATTGGCAGGAAGAACTTAGATTATCGTTAAAGTACCATTCAAAACCCATCACTACTCCCTTCACACCTTTCATTTTTTAATTTTTGAAGAATTAGATGTAACTTGAAATTTTGAAAAAAAAAGTGAAATTGATGTGTTATGGAGTACCATTAGCTACCTGGAATTCAGTTATTTCCATTTTTCTTACTCCCATTGATCGTTCATTTCTATCCTTAAAAAGATTGAATAGGTGAATTTGAAAAGAATGATTAAATAGTTATTATATGATTTTGTTTCAGTTTAATATCGTTTGCGGTATTTCTCGCTGTCGCAGGAATGTCATCATCCATTGTGCGTAACGGTCGATTTCTTTCAAATTTCAAAACTCCCTAGTATTTGTACACCTCAATTGAGCTATTCAGGTTAGATTATGATTTAAAATTTTGTTGAATTTAAAAAAAAGAATACAAATTGTTAAATAAAATCCAGGAGGTAGTTATAATTTGATTGGATCATAGTGTTAACATAGTAAATAATGGTATCGTTGAGTGAACTTTGCTTATTAATCGAAGAAATTGAAGTGATTACTAATTAATACAGTATCATTTATTGCATTTAATCTATTACCTATCATTTTAGTTATTGAATGTTCGAGCATGGGAACGTGCCGTTTCCTACAGTACCATTGATTAGTTACTTTCCTTTACTGTATTAGCATTTTGTCGTTTCATCAAAATAAGCAATTAAATTGTACCATTTTTGCTACACTGCTTCAGAATTTAGTATTTAGATAACACAGCAATCATGTATTACATTGATAAACAAATACACGTGTTGCTTGCACACACGTATTCTACATTGCTTTAAATAACTAGAAATATCAGGTTTCAAATGATATGATAACTATTTTTGTATTGATCAGCACAATAGCACATGACATGTTTGAATGCGTACAATGGTATTTTATTACTTAATCGATCACGTAAATTACTTTCATATGAGAAAACATACACTAGCTGCGCAATTGTAAAATCTGAATAAATTTTTTCAACGTGAAAAATATAAATAGTTCAAATACACAATCATTTCATCATTTTTTCTCTAGCCATATGATATAAGGTTTATTTATTGGTCATGATTAATACTGCAAGAAAATTACATTCTGGTGAAATTTCAACATCTACAACAGATATTAATATTTTAGATGGCACATCGTTATTGGTACATTTAGTTGATATATTTCTTTGATATACTTTCTTTATCAGTTATCAGTGATTTAAACTTGTTGACTACATTAATTAATCATAATTGAATCCTACCTTAAAATGTATGGACTTTATTTTGGCTCGAAAAAAAAAGGAGAACGAACAAAATATTATATGAGCGAATATGGATTCAATAAAAATAAATTAAGTTAGAATAGGAATTGTTTATGTGCAGGATCAGGTTGAAAATAAGATTGGAAATTAAATTCTGACAGTTTCCTTAAATTACTGATACATTTTACTGATATATCTGTTGTAATGGTACTTGGTGCAAAGATAATCTGATAATTGGTGTAAAGATAAGATGTAGACAATAAGAACTTTGCTGAAATTATCGTTTGTGATAATCGGTAAACAATACGGCATTTACAGGTGGAAGAGATTAATTGACGTAAGTGTGAATGACGTAATATAGATATTATATGTGATAATTTGATTATCACTGATAATCGTATTCAATTAGTGTCGTCCTGATGAGGTAATAAGTGGATAAATAATGGTAATCAAATCTCTTTTTTTTATTTCAGTCGCGAAAAGTGAAATCAGAAAAAGATAGCGACTTTGGCGCAAAAAACTATGTGAAGAAAAATATGCGAAATTCGAGCGAAAACCTGAGCATAACAGGAAGTCAACATTTAAGTTTAACTTCTGGAAATACAAATATTGCTACAGATGCACAACAAGTTAGTATTATCCATCATATTTTTTGTGTGTGATATGATTATGAGATCAAATTTAATTTATTTGCTTTTCCATGTTTTACTTGTTGTTATAGCATAACTTTGCATGTAAATCTACTCTATTCCACGATTTCTCTTCTGGAAATTTCTGAACTAATCAATATTGATAAAAACTTGTATCTGATCTACTAGAGAGGCAAGCAAAAAAAAGAATGTGGGTAAAAGGAAAGGAGAGAAGAAAGAAAAATGTTAAAGTTTCAGAACTTTAACATTTTTCTGGAAACTAAATTCTGATAGTGAAAGAAAAATTTTTTGAGATTTAATTTTGATAATAAAAGATACCAAAATTTTAAAATTTATGGATTCTTAGAATATTTGCACTCCAAAATTTTTCCTGTTGTTTTCCTACGAAACTTATACTATTTATGAGACAGATAAGGGAAGTAATAATTAGTGAAACAGAATGGTAAGATGATGATAAGAATAAGCTTAGGTAGTATTTTCATGTTGGCGCTCTTATTTTGCAGTATGGTAATTTTGATGGATTTTGCAGTCGTTAATAACAATGGAACCATTAACAGCTCTTGAAGATGACATGCATACAGCTAAAAAAGGAAAAGAAGGTAATGGCGGTAATTTTACTAATTACAAATGAGTTGATTACCACTTCATTTAGTAATTTGTAATTGTTTACTGACGGACGACAAATTGCGAAAATAAAAAATATTTTACACTTTTAGTAAAAATTAAAAAGTAAAATTTGAAGGAAATGGATTTGTATAGTTTATTTTACAATTTATTACTAAAAGAAAGAAATTTCCTTCTTATAGAGTGCAGTAGTAGTTGTTCAGCAAAAAAATTTGCAAATTATTACCAGTAATTTATCATTTTAATATTTGTTTCAAGTTTTGCTAACAAAGTCTGCTTCCACTAATAATAAATATCATTGCAAAAATAATTAATACTGTTCATGTCAGTTAGTGCTAATGGGTTTTGAGCTAACTATTCTCATAAATCAGTTTGTTATGAACACAGTTTTCTTGAGAATATGTTGAATTTTTGCTTGTTCCCGGAATATATTTGTATTAGCTATCATTCATCGAGCTAGAAAATAACAATTTAACGATGCGACAAATTTAAGTCTGCTATTTGGTTAATTTGGTGCTATGTTAATTAGTGTTGATAAATTTCGAAACAGATACTATCATAAATAAGCTTATTATAAACATACTTTTCCCGAAAATGTGCTGGATTTTTGCTTATTCCGGAATAGACTTGTATCAATTATCATTAATTGAGCTAGAAAGTGACAATTTAACGATGCAACGAATTTGTGTCGTCTGATGTAATTGTAATTCTCTGGGAATATTTTAAAAACAGATAATAGTATGAAAACTTTATGCATAATCAGTTCCAAAGACTATCCATTCAAGCTAGAATGATAATAGCTATCTGAAAGAAGGTTCAATGCTAAACTTCTCAAAATTGTTGAAATCCGAAATTCATAATATATTTAATTATATTTTTTCAACGATAACTTTTCAACTTTTGCACTATCATTTCATCTCATTATTTTAATTAGTTTTAAAATTTAGGCTAATTCATTTGCTATATCGTTAAGTTCATTTTCAATTTCTTCTCGATTACGAAAGCATGATGACCATTGCAAACGGTAAAGATTGTCACATAAATTAAAATTTATTTTGAAATTAAAGAAAAATTGATAAGTAAAAAGTTCAAAATGTGATGATTAAAATGCGATTAATTGGTGTTCATTTAAACGAATGTACAAAAGTAGTGGGTGGATGAAAAGTGTGTCCGAAAATGAGGAAGGATTTGTTGATAGAATTCGAATTCAACTTATTTAAGTTAAATTTTACAAGAATTAAAAATCTGATAGATGCAATTAATTTATCAAATCAATTAAAGGGAATGATTTCATTTCACTTTTCTTTTTATTTTTTTTTTCTGATTGAATTTTCCATTAAATGTAGAGAATATCGAAAACAAATGTGGCATACCAGAAGCAAATTGAAAAAGTATACTAATAGAAAAGATGAGAAGAAATTTCTCAAACTTTTGGATGAATATAAGTAAATTTTTTAGTTCTTCTTTTCAAATTATCATTGGATTGTAATTTTAATTTTTGAAATAGCTACTGTACATCTGTACTGAATGTATCCTTTGAAATTTTTTCATGATAAATTAATTACCTAAATAGTAATTTATCACAAAACAGTAAATTATCATATTTTATCATCAGTGTGTTCAAATAATGTTTTTTTTCCGTTGTTTCCAATATAAAGCATTGATAATTTTTCAAATCACTGCTTGAAAAGTTAGTATCATTGAATAACAAACTAAAAATAAATGTTTCTGAATAAAATATGCTGTCAAATTTTGAGCAATAACTTATTATTATCATAACTTACATTGATATTATATCAGTTATATTGCAATAATATTATTTAAAATGAAAATAATACGTAAAAAAAAATACCTAAATATATCATATTATTTGATATATGTTTCGACAAATAATGAACATTTTTTTTTCTGGAATTAAAATTTTAAATTTAGGCAAAAAAAAATTGTTTTAAATTGCATTTGCAAAGGAACACGTTGGAGTTGGTTTAATAATTTATGGGAATTTGTTATAAATATTTTTCGTTTCATTCGACAATTCATATGGTGTTGTTGTTGTCCACCAATTTTAGGTTATTGCTTAAATAAGGTATACATACATTATGTACTATTTACTCAATAAAATAAAAAAAAAAAAAGCACAATTACTGATCGTTTAATTTATAAAAAGAAAAATGTTCTTCAGTTTTTTTTTTTTATTTAATTAATTGACGCAAACTTATTCAAGTTTTTTATTCATCATTATTCAATTAATTAGTCCAAATTTACTCGTTTTGTTTCATTCGAATATCATTTCATTTATTCAATTAATGATGTTTTGTTTGTTTCCCTCAAATTCGAATTCGAATAATTGAATTTGAATTTAAATTCCAATATCGATATACATAAAACTGCACATATTATTCAGTTATTTCAGATAGCATTTTGGCCACCACCACGTGCGTATTACTTTTTCATTGATGATAATATGGAGAGTATTAATAGAAATGATCAGGTCCCACTAACTCAACAATGTATTGTTCGAAAGGCTAACAAGTGATTCATTAATTAATCCACTTATTAATTCCTTAATTAATCTGTCCATAAATTCATTGGTTGATCTGCTCATGTCACTGTCATCTTTTAAGTCTTAAAGTTTGCATTTAATGTGAGAGTAGTAAGAAAGTTAGTAAAGGTGTCGTCATGTGAGAATGTCACTAAAATATGATAGTGACATCATCCAAAACTAAAAAAAAAAAAAAATTGCGCAGTCATTTCCTGTCTATCTAATCTTTCTTTCATTTTCATATTTCTTTGGTTGATCCTTCAGCAATATAGATTTATCATAATAAAACAAAGCACATATTTAATCCCTGGAATCCCCGATCCGGAAACTTTATGGAGGTTAAAGGTCATTAGTATACTTTTCTAGCATATTCTCTTGCTGCCAAAAAAATATCACGAATTCTTGTCTGCACTTCTATGATGTAAAACTTTAATGCTAGAAGGGAAGTTATCACTTTTGAAATTATTTTGCATTATTTTGAATTTTACAGTAAAGTTAAATTTAAAATTTCAAATTATAGAAATTGTTTGAAACGAAGAGATTTGAGATTTGGTTTCGAGCATCAATGTGCTACTGAAGTAGTTGGAATTGAATGTTTTGTTACGGAAACTGAAAAGAAAAATGTTAATTATATTTTATTTTTGTTAAAATTTTAAATTTACTACAACCTTTTTACAATCTTAACTATTCATACGTTTATTTCACGTTCCATATACTTATCATCATACGAATGATGTGAGATAATTTCAGCATATTGCTTGTGTATTTGTTCGAAAATCAAGACCACGTTATACATTGCTATTCTCACATCCAAATGGTAGTGATATATCGGATCATCTTGTTGGATTACCTAATTTGCATGATGCAGCAAGGTTATTCATATATTTTATCATATTTCGAATGAATTAGCCCAGCCCAAATATGAGCTAATCCTAGCAATTTCAAATTTTATCACAATTTTTATTATCAATTATTTCACACTGATAAATGTACCATCATCACATGATACAGTATTATAATTATAAGCTAAATTTTATCAGTTAAATATAAACTTTTTTATATAGCCTGAGTATAAGCCAAATCTTATCATTCAAATATAGACTTATTAATGTGACCTACTAGTTATCTACAAAATTCTTTATATTTATAATATGATTTACTAAAGTATTTTATCCAAATACATTTATTACTTAAACTTCTACTGTAGTAAATTCGATTTCCTTCAACTGGATAATATTATCATAGTGTCGTTCAAAATTTCCATAAATATATCATCGTTGAAATTGTCAACTTTATTAATATTCATTTGATCACATTATAATTATCAATTTTCTGGCTCACTTCTATTTTTTCTGTTTTGTAATGAAATTTAAATTACAGATTTTTTAATTGCAATATATGCTCATATGATTATAGTGGTTATGGTATTAGTGAAGGTAATCCAAGTGAAAAAAATATGTATTCAGATATCAATGCTGTTTATAAAGTATATCTTATTAACATTTGGCTAACTTTTTTCTGATCTCATGTAAAAAAAAAGAGACAGAAAAAAAACGAGCCTTATTGTAAAAAAAACGAGCCTTATTGTTTATTAATTGTCATAAAGGTCAAACTTTTTCATATACATCAATATAATCAATTTCTCATTACAAATGTATTATTCATTTACAGTATCTATTGGAGGATTTATGCATTCCGGAAACAAATATCATACTATGGGGTTACAGTATTGGTACAGTAGCATCAATCGAATTAGCAAAACAAGCCAGTAAACTTGCTGGCTTAATACTTCTTGCACCAGTAGCATCAATTATACGAACAATATGTTGGGGAAAATGTTGTTGGGATCGAAGTGAGCAATGTGGTCGTTTAGCGGATTGTTGCTGTGATCGATTTAATAGTGTTTAAAAAAGGTTTTTTTTTTTTATTCTTACAATTTTATTAGTTCAATTATCATACAACCTTATTAGACACACATTACAATCCAATGACCCATTTGTTTTATGATCTTTAATCTTTGCTACTGTTGTCTTACTAGTAGCTAATCATATACTGTTACTTTTATAATTGCACGTTATAATGCTTATTTTTAAGCTTAAATTCAAAAAAAAAAAATTCTTTTTGATCTCTTTTGAACTAATTTACATATTCAATTTAGTATAGCTTATTGATCAAAATGGTTTTTTCTTTTGTCTTATTTTTTTATTTTTTATAATTAGATTAGTGACATCAAAATGCCAACATTGATTGCACACGGAGTACAAGATATGATTGTAACGATTGAGCATGGCAAAGCATTGTATCAATTATGTCCTGGAGCTGTAAAACCATTATGGATACCAGATGTTGGCCATAACAATCTTGAAAATAGCTCCATGTTATGGCGTCGAATGCGAAAATTTATTAATAGGTTAATGAATTTTTACGTTTTGAATTTAATTAATTAAAAATTTTATTAATTTTCCATCAGCGTTTGTTTATTAATTTTTTTTTTTTGGTTATCTTTTTTTCATTGTAACATGTAAAGTATGAATGAATGTGCGGAAAAATGAAAGGAAAGGGAAGATGATGGAAGATGAAAATCATTTGTTGAAAAATAATCTGTAGATTTAATTTTGTGATTTTAAAAAAAAAAAATTTTCTTACTTTTTAAAAAATCATTCGTTGAAAAATAAGTCATGAATTTAATTTTTGTAATTTTTTAGAAATTTGAAAAGAATTTTCTTTCAATTTTTATTATTTCTTGCATATTTTCCTCTTCTAATTTCTCAATATTTCTCATTTTCCTCTCCTTTTCTATTTAAGTAGTTTTTGTATTGAAATTTAAAAGATTAATTTAAAATCAAATTAAATTTGAATTAATTACAGAGAAGCGCGACCACCTTTACAACGAAAGAAACGTAAATCATCCATGAAAGATATCAAAAATAAAGTCAATTTATCAAGTGATAATAATGATAAGAATGAAACAAAAGAAGTTTTTGGTACAAATGTCAAATAGATCCATGGAAATGAAATTCAAATGAAAATCATTCGATGAAATTACAGAAAAAAGTGGAAATGAAATTTAAGTGGAAATCATTAGTAATGAATTACAATTTTGTTAATTAATTGAATTGATATTTCACTTTCTGTATTATTTGTATTCTTCATTACTTCAAAATCTCTGTAATAATCTGTTGATAATTAATTAATCAGATTAATGTTCCATTTTTTGATTATCGGTGAATTTTTCTTTTCTTTTTACTAAAAATTTGTAAAATGAGTACTAGAAAACAAATGTAAACCTTTCAAAAATGCTCAAAACTTCCTTATCAAATTCATATCTCATCATTCCATATCTTATTTTTCTGATTGTTCAGTGTAATAAATGATTATCTCAATGGAAGAAATTTGCATATATTGAAAATTAAAATTAATTGCCTAAACATGTGAAGACAATTTTGCTCATTTATTTACTCAAATATATATATATTTTAAATACCATAATTTGTTGATTGAATAACTATGCTTCAGACCTAGCATTTTTTTTTAATCCCATTCATTCTTACAACAAATAAACTTGAATTTACCCTATTAAATTAATGTAATAATTCAAAGTACATTCATCATTATGGTCAATAATAGCAAATTTTTAACCAAGGAAATAGAGTTATCTTATGTTTGCTGCTGCAAGCAATATTAATGAATTTTCACTGAATTAATTCGAAATGTAAATTTTAATTAAATTATCGAAGAAGAATTAATTTTGTCAAGCATATATTTCTGCTACAATAAATAAATAGATTATTATGGAAAAAGTGGAAATTTTTTCCATCATTTATCTCATTTACTTCATATGGTTTAATAACAATAGATAAATAATAGAAATGAAGAAAAAAAATCATTGTTTCTTAAAATTCAAAGAAAAATTTCAACTTTAACCATACAGGAATAAATTAATTCAAAACAGTATTTGCAATTAATTTTTTTCAAAATCACACTTTAAATTGTTTATGCAAATGAAATTTAATTCCTTAAAATGAGCTTTATCTAAGATTTCCTAACTTAAGTGGTTGAGATTATGAATGCAATGAGTAACTTTTTCATTTACATGATTTCGTCACTTCCACCCCCACTTATCATTTTCAGTTTATCATAGCAAGCTTATCACTGCATGGCAAGGTAGTTGATTAAAATTACCAGATAGTTATCATTTTGCAATGCAATCAATCAGAAATGATTCAATCCATTTCCAGTAATTTTGTGATAAGTTTCTATTGATGCTTAGATTCATTCAATTATTTCATTAATAATGATTGGTAACAATTGCGTCATTATGCAACAGATAATATATGACATCATAAATAAAAAGATTTCAATTGCAAAAGACTAAAACAGAAAACATTTAAATATTAGATAAAAAGTGCTTTAATGCTGGGCAGAAAGCGCTCAAATGTCAGACAGAAACGCCTAAATGTTGAACAAAATGCGCCTAAATGAAAGCAATAACATGAAATTGTATCATATCATATAATGATTATTTCGTGACTATTTTATTTAGCCTTATTTGCATTTGTAGCAAAATTAATCAGTTCAAAATCATCATTGTCATCATTATCATTTATCAAGCTTATATTGCGTTCAATCATTTCCAGTATCACTGACTATGATATGATTCTGATGAAGTTGACGAAGATGGCAAATTTTCGCCAGGAAAAGAATATGCTCGACGACGGTAACGTGGTATGATCATTAAATAGTCTGATGTTCCCTGAAATATAAATTAATTCATCATTTTATTCGATTTAAATGCTATAATAAAATCAAATTTAATAAAATAACAAAAAATTAAGGAATTTAATTCTTCGTAACTTTACATGTGGAAAAAAACTCACAGATGGCGATTGCGATGGCGTAGAAATATCAACAACTTCAACATTCGATATCACTTCAGCCATTGAATTCGATGTAAACTAAAATAATTAAAAATAATTAAGTTTAAAAACCAACATCAATAACAAGGAAAAAAAAGCTCATTATTTTTCATTCATTCATTAGCTATTACAAACGTCAACTCTATTCTCTTTATTATTTGTGTATAAATATTTAATTAATAATTAATTAGGAAAGCTATGCGTAAACTACTGCAGAAAATATTTTCATTTCTTTTCCAGCAAAACTTTTCTACTGGAATAAAGTTGACATTTGATGGATTATTGTTAAGAAAGCTTCGCAAAAAAAGGAAAAAAAACGGAACTGGAATAACTTGCGTATTCCATACGACAAGTCTGACCGGTTCATCATCTCCCGCATCCGGATCATCCTCTTCCATTTGTTCACACACCGTTTGCAATATATCCGTTGATAGTGTCACCATGAATTTATCCTGTAAGCTATTATCAACATTTTATCACGTTTATCACTGTTATGATTATGATATTTATAGATATTATCATTGTTATCGCAAAAAATATTTGTAAAAGTGTGAAATATTATGAAATAATTCTGGCACCTAATCAAATAGATGTCACTTAGCCTGAGGATTAGAAAATCAATTGGCAAACTTTTCAGCATTTTTAGAATCAAAAAGATGACATAAATGTCATCTGTCATCAAATACTTCACTCACATCATCTGTTTCATTGGTATTTGTCATTTTAAAGTTTATTTACTACTTCAAGACTTCACCGAAACCTGAAATAAAGCGAAAATAAGCAATGTTTAAAGATGCATTTATTGATTGGTACAATTGAAATAAAGTAACATAGTCGCAAACACACATCTTATCCTAAATTATTTTCAAGAAATCTCGGGAATATATTGCATTGTAACGCTATGGCTATCTAAATCATACGAAAAATACGGTCAACTTGAACCAGAGGTAACAACCGTTTAAGCTTGATTTGAAATGTAGTAATAAAACTTGTTAGATTTTCTCAGTAATTTAAATTCATTTTTGAATAAAAGTTGGAAATAAAAATGGTAATATGCAAATTTAAAGGTTTACAGTCTCTTTACTTTTCCCGTTAGCCATTTATGCAAATAAACAGTTATGCAGTGGTCAGTATTATAACTGCTACTCTTACATCAACCACTTGGTCAACATTACTTAAAATGACTGGAACTATTGAAAGTAAAGCTGATGTATAAATTCTAACATTTCATGAGCAATTAAAGCTGAAAATAGATGAAACAGAAATGATGTAAACTATTTCAAGTGTAACAATCGAAAACCAATTAAGTACTAATTAAGTGAGACAAAAAGGACCCATCATTTGACACAAATTAATTTCGATTAAAGTAAGGAAAGAGGAAGAGAATTGAGCTTTTAGAAGATAATTAATCTTGAAAAGAGAAACGGAAAACGGTATAATTGTTCATATAGTGCTTAAAAAAATTAAGCTATTTTATAAATTATTAAAATGAAGAAAGTTTAAATTTGACAAAACTGATAAATAATGATAAGAACGAAAAAAAGACAAAAAGAGAATTGTTAAATTCAATTTAATAAAATAAAAAATATCAGTGAAATCATTGATAGTGATAATGAAATAGGATGAATTTTAGCATTTTACACTTCATTATTATCATTTATTTATTTTTTTTCTTTCATTATCATTACTATTTCTAATTATCACCTATTTATTATCACTTTTTGGATTCAATATTTCTTATGATAATTTTATTCATTTCATTAAATACAACAACATTCATTTTTATTTCCGGAATTTTCGTAAATAATATTCGTTCAGGAAAATAAAGTAAAAGAATTAAAAATAGATGCAAACATATGTTATATGGAATGTATTAAATCACATGTGTTATTTTCTGTACGCTCAATACATGTCACCTAATAACTGTCATTATGACCATATAATGGATCCGAATCATTTTGTAATATTCCATTTATCAAAAGTTAATTTTACAGTACATATGCTTCTTTTTTCGTAATTCACGTTATGCACATATTCTATTATCATACTATTATTTGTTTACGTTATATAACGTTTTGCCGAAACTCAGAAATATCAACGATAACTAATCGAAGATATTGAGCATTTCGGTCAACTATGGTCAAATGATCCAATTCTTTTAACTTTTAATCAATAGCGGAATCAATCAATAATTTATGTAAATTCAAATTCATTTATGTAAAGTCAAGTTTAACTTGCTAGTAAATTATACAGTTCTACTCATTTTTTCTGCAAAATTGCAACATTTTATTTAAATCCCAGGAAGTAAATTTCAACGAATCAATACCGCCAATACAGTATGATACTAATTAATACAGTATTTAATATTTAACAAATTCCATTTAATGTTGTAGAAAATGGAGAAAGAATAATTCATTATTTGCTGTTTAACAATATCTATGAATAATTATGGATTAATTAATTATTTAATCATTGTAATGCCTACGTACACTTACCATAATTTATCATTACATATTAAAATTAACGAAATAATTATGATAAGTTGTTTTTTCGTTTAAATAAATTTATAATTCAAATAATGTTTGTATTTTGCAAAATTGTGCAAGTAAAAGTAAGGGAATTTGATAATATTCCTTAACATATTATTGATAGCTTATCATATTACTGGTAAATTGTATGATTACCTGATAACTATAACTATAATGATACAATGAGAAGATTAGAAATTTAAATGAATTCCAAAAAAATTGCAAAGTCCTTTCAATTTTCCATTAATATCAAAGCACTTTTGGCAGAAATAATTTATTCTATTTATTATTATCATTACATTTTATCACTTTCATTTTTATCAAAATGAATGGTATTCATTCAAATCGATTATTTATTACTCCAATCTATCATTATCTTCTATTTTTGTTTTCAAGTAATTAATTAATTAATGGATATGTTATATTTTCTTATCTCATCTTTCCATTCCACTTTTTATTTATACTTTACAAAAAAAAGAAAAAAAAATTGTGATCTAATGAAGTTATTATGAAGTACACTTTGTTCGTGTCGTAGTTTGCAGTGAATGTTAAACGAATGTTTTATATCCTTTCACATTATTCTCCTGTTTTTTTTAATGAATTTCAAATTATACCTGACAGGTAGATTCAAATTAATCAAATTTCTTTACGTTACAATTGCGCATTATACGGAAGGATTTCGTACGAATCAAGTTTAAATTTGATAGCATTCACTTCTATGAACTAATCAATAAACTTGTGATTCAAAAAAAAAAAATCCGATTGCTAATGATCAATCAATGAATCAATCAACGATTGAACAATGAAAAAAAATGAATGATCATCTTTGGAATTGATTCAGTCTTTGATTTGATTTAATCTAATTAATCAATCAATAAATAAATTTTTTATTTTCAAAAACAATCAATACTAGTTGAAATTACGAAAGATGAGATTAAGCATACAAGTGTAAATGATCAATAAAACTAAATGTCAGGAATTTATGAGAAATTATCTGAATATTTTATTAAATTAATTAATGCTAACTTCATATTATTCTAGACTAATTTAGTTTTAAACAAAAATCAATAATAGATTATGTCAAATTAGTGAAATAATTTTAAATATTTTCAACTTCTAAGCCATAATTAGCTAATTATCTCAGGCTTTTTTTTTACTATTCAAATGTTATATATCAGATCTGTAAACTTTGAATTCAATGATTCAAATTTTAATCTTTCATCTGAATTTAAAAACTGAAATCTGTTATATAAAAATTTAAGGAAAGGAAAAAAACTTTAAGAAAAGGTTTTAAATTCCGTCACAGAGATTGTTAGCGTAATCAGCTTATCACATGATACAATATATCATAAATTAAAATTTTACCTAATGATAATTGTCCCCAAAGTTGTGACATACATTTACATTAATGAATAAAAATGATAATGAAATATGAAACATTTTCTCTCTCTCTCTCTTTCTCGCCCTCTCTCTCTCTCATTTAGGATTTATCTAAGGTGTAATGCGACGGAATTTATATTGATAAATACGTTAATTGTTTAATACGATATGTGAGATAACAATAATTATTGCGATTGTAAGCTATAAATATCACGCATGCTGCATGCTTGCAACATGCAGCATGCATTTATTTAATTCTTGTTAACATATAATTACATGTTAAAACAATATCTCATGCAAAAATGATAGTGGTATTCCACTTGTTTACTTGCACTGCAGTTGTATTGCATTTTGTTGCATGCATATTTGTTTGCCATTTGTTTCAGTAGAAATTAATTTACTAATATGATACATTAATTAGTCTGAAATAAAAAATGATGAAATTAATTTGATAGCAATAATTTCTTTTTTCTTTTAACCTATTTCTCTTACTAAAATTTTGATCATTTTTCAAACTTTCAAATTGTTAAATGTCAATAATTGAAACAGTATAAAAACAGAGTAATGAAATACTCAATATTAGAGAATGAAAATTAAAAATGTTGAGTAAATCAATTTACCATTTCAAATAATTTCGTAAATTTTACGGTAAATGACTAAATGACCATCTTCTTTCAGGAAATGATGGATAAAAAAAGCCACGAGAATGTCGAGAACGTATATTACGTAATGAATTCATTGAATTTGCTCGTAGATTAAATGATGGTACGATGACACGATCAATGAGTGACACATTCCTAGCTAATGGCATCGTTGGAAAATATTGCAAACGTGGTCGTTGACGTATCACTCGACGTGAATGTGATAATGGCCAACTATATGAAATACTATCATCTTCATCATCATCATCATCATCATCATCATCACTCATCACTATCATCATCATCATCATCATCTTCATCATCATCATCATCCTAGAATTTTCAATTAATTAATTCTATCAGTAAAAAAAAATTAAAAAATAAAAGTATACGAAATGAATCAATCAAAATTTCATTTCAAATTAATTATTTTTTAAAAATTTTCTGAGAAAATTATAAAAAAAAGAGATATTGGTGTGTAAACTTTGAAAATTCAAAGTTTCCTTTCTTTTTTCTTTTTTTTAGGAGCTTCTTGTTCGTAATTATTCAAAAGTTATCATCATTATAAAATGATCCAAAATTTTATCACTATTTTAAAATGATCCAAAAAGTTGTCAACATTTTAAAATGATCCAAAATGTTATCAATGTTTTAAACCATATGCATTGATAATATCACTGAATAAAGATCTTCATTGGACATTTATTGAAATAATTTAAAATGAATTTTGAACCTTTACTGTCCTACAAATGTCAGCATAGATTTTATCAGTAAAAACTAATGAGCAAAATTAAAAACAAAAATTTATTTTAGAGAAGAAAATTTACATCCGAAGAAGTTGTCCAATTTGTATCATCATCAATGCCAGATTCTCCATCAGTAATTGATCTATAAACAGGTGTAATTAGCAAAAATTAACAAAAAAAAAACTATAATTAAGAATGGGCGAATGAAAATGAATGATAATTTAAATTAAAAATGGAAAAAAAAACGATATCACTACTTTTTCGTATATATAATATTGTTCAATTTCGTAATTTAATTTTAACTTTGGATGAAATAATATTAAAAGTAATAATTTAAAAATAACAATATGATTGGAATACAATTATTTACTGTAAGTAAATGAGTACCAATATCACTTCATAAATTTAGATAATTAGGTCAAAGTTCATGATATTTCAATAATTTTGCAAATAAATCTCATATATGAGCATGAATAGAAATAAAATTAATGGAACGATAGCAATCGTGATAAATAAAGATTGTGAAAAAAAGTGATTTTTTTTTTTATTCCATTGATTTAATATCGGAAGATGGAGAAATTTTTAGTAATTAAAAAAATTCTATGAAATAACCGATTCATTGCTTGACCAATTGCTTGACTCGATTGACCAATTCGTGAACTGATCATATTCTCATTTCTATTATCATATTCATTTTCAATATTATTGCATGCATCACCATGTATCAGTTGTCGTAAAAATTCATTTGGATCTATATTCTCATCCCATTGGCTACTATTGTCGTATACATGTGGGAATTGGTCATCTGATGATGGTGGCATTTGTTCATCACTTATATACGTTTCCACGTCACTTTCAGTCTCATTACTTCCATTATCTGAAGATATTTGTCAAAATATTAAAGTTATTGATAATATGTCATTTTAACTTTATCATTTCAATGAATGATGAATTTGACCCCCTCTGACCTCTCATATTATAATTTTATGTTTAAGCTTACAGATAGATTGTGATTATCTATATTTCTGGGATTTTGATATTGGTAGAATTTTAGGAATAATATATACCAAGCTTCCTTTCTTCTTCCTATATTTTTTAATTTTTGATAATGCTCAAATTGATTTCAAGATATCTCGGGATGAATTCAATTATTTTTATCACTTCTTCATTTTTGTTACAATCATCAAATTTAATGATACTATTTCTTAGGATATAATTAATAAAAAATACCGATCCTGCTTACCATTTTTCCCAGTTATTATTGATAACTTATCTTTGATTCTTAATTTCCTATCTTTCCACTAATGATTTCTAGTATGTTTATATCAGAAAAATCTTTATCATTCCTCAATTCATTGTCATAAATCATTATCATAATTAATTTATACAAAAAAAAAATAAACTTAACCTGAATCGTTATCATCATTATCATTATCATTGCCATTAGCTTCACCATTCACATGCATATGTTGAATATGCATTAATTCTTGATCTTCATCAGGTATAATTCTATGCATAATTTCGTCACAGCGTAAAATTAGCAAAATTTATCGTTCGATCTAACAAATTAATTATCCATTCATTTATTAAATCAAAATTATTAATTTTTTATAATTACAAAAAAAAAGACGAAAAAATTAATAATCATCAATAATTAATAATCAATAATTTCAGCATAATATATTAACTTTGAGTTAATACAATTTTAGTAGCTTTTTTAATTGAGAGAAAAGTTTTTGATTATATTTGATTATATTTAAATTAATTTAAATTAATTTGATTGTTTAAACTAATTCCATTTATCTTACTATTAATGAATAATTTTAACCAGTGTAGCATTGATAAGAAATTTTATCAGCCTCCAATTGTGAAGAAATCATTTTCAATTCTTTTACTAATACAATACTTATAAAACATTCGTAATTAGTTGTTTGTCAAATTAATTAATTGAATCTGTTGTCAACTACAATAAATAACATTTAGTTATTTATTCTTTGAATGAGGAAGAAAAAGAAAACGAAATTAATGATAAATATTTACAGAATTATTTCATGAAAGGCAATAAATTGAAATATTAAATTGCCAAGCTATTCTATTTAATTGTTTAATTTTAGTAATTAATTATTAGTTTAAATATCGATTAACTATTAATCATTTCTCAAAATTGATAAATATACGTCTTTTATTTTGTAAGCGCATCACATCAGCAAATATCACCCCACTAATCATACAATAATTTTTATGATAAAATAGAAAAAAGACAAAACACGACCGTTCCGTTGACAAATATCTGCGAAAAGTTTTATTAAAAGATATCACAATGATTGGTATTTATATTATCGTTTTTCATTTGCATAAAGCCGAAAATTTGCATAATATGACATGTCAAATTATGTGTGCATAACTTTTGATATGAAGGAAAAATGTAAAATTTGCATAAACTATATAAATGTCGAAATTCTTTTTGCAATCCAATAACTCATTAACTTTCTTAATTAAAATTT